TTATAAACAAAGGAGATGTATTTTTGATACCCATTCTGCAAGTGTCAGTCTATGATCTTTAACTTTATTTTTACTTTAAAAAAATATATTTTATTTATTTTATTTTATGTGTATGAGTGTATTGCCTGCGTGTATATGAATGCACCCGTGTCATGAAATGCCTTGGAGGTCAGAAGAAGGCTTCAGATTCCCCTGGAACTGGAGTTAAGGACAGTTCGTAGCCACCATGTGGGTGCTGGAAATCGAACCCAGGTCCTCTGCAAAAGCGGTCAGTGCTCTTAACTGCTGAGCAACCTCTCCAGCCCTGTTTTTATTTATTTTTTTCATTTTATGTGTATGAATATATTGCCTGCATGTAGGTAAGTGCACCCATGTCGTCCAATGCCCGCAGAGGTCAGAAGAGGCTGTTGGATCCCCTGGGACTGGTGTTAGAGACAGTTGTTAGCTGCCATGTGGGTGTTGGGATTTGAACCCAGGTCTTCTGCAAGAACAACCAGTGTTCTTAACCGCTGAGCTATCTCTCCATCTCCCGTCCACAAGTCTTTTGTTTGGGCGTCCTCCATCCCCACTTGAATTATGGACACCCTGAGGACGTCAGACTTTCCCATCTAAGGTCTTCGGGCTTTTGTGTTTTGTTTTTGTTTGTTGTTGTAGGCACACACTGTAGCCAAAGATGATCTTGAGCTTATGATTCTCTGGCCTCCACCTCCGGGGCTGGGCACCACACCCAGTTTATGTGGTGCTGCTAATACAACTCAGGACTTAGTGCAGGCTGGACAGGCACTCTTATCTACCGAGCCACATCTGCAGTCCCAAACCATTGCTTCTGTCTTTAGAAAACACAATCTGGCAAAGATCTGGATTCACATCTCAGCCTCCCAACATCTTCATACCATTACTTTTATCCATGTTACAGGATGGCTCCCACATAACACCTCGCTTCATCCTGTGTGTATGTGTGTGTGTGTGTGTGTGTGAGAGAGAGAGAGAGAGAGAGACAGAGACAGAGACAGAGACAGAGACAGACAGAGACAGAGACCAGAGAGAGAGAGACCACATTTCACATCTGATTGTGCTCCACAGGCCACTCCTAACTACCAGGAACACTGGGAGATGTAGTGTTTGTTATAGGAATCTGGTGGCTGAGTTGGTGGAGTGCCTACCTAGCATGTAAGAAGCCCTGGGTTCCATCCCCAGAACCTAGACCAGGCATGGTGACATATGCTTGTTACCCCAGCACTCAGGAAGTGGAGGCAGGAGGATCCCCCGAAGTTCAAGGTGATCCTCACCTACATAGGGAGTTCAAGGCCAGCCTGGGATACAAGAGACACAAAAACGAAAAAACATCTTGGGGGATCTGTTATTATTGAACCCAGCCCATCGCCTGTGTCTGACGTGCAACATTCTGGAACTCTGTACCACGCTCAAGCTCATTTCTTTACATCTTATCAAAGTTTTCACTGCAACAGCAAAAAATTAAGTTAATTAATTAATTTAAAAAATTAAGAGAAAAACTCTGTGCCCTGCATGGTGCCAGGTGTGGTAAGCACCTGCCTATGATCCCAGCGCCTGGGAGACTGAGCCAGAAAGATCCTGAGTTTGAGGCCAGTTTGGGTTACATATTAAGCTCCAGACCAGAGACCAGTCTGGACAACAGTAGTGAGACCCCATTTCAAGAAAAGAGAAGAAAAGGAGAGAGGAAGAGGGGGAAGAGAAAGAGAAGCCGCATGTCTAGATCTTACAGTATAGTTGAAAATGTCTGCAGGGGCCCTTCTGGTGGAGTTTCTGACATTGCCATAGGAGAGGGAATGCTTGTTGGAGGAGCTAACAGGACAGGAGGATGCGTGTGCCCAGGGGACGGTGACAAAAAAGGACAGTGGCCTGACAGGTGGCCTCCTACTGGGTCTGATGCCTGCATGGTAGACTGTGAGATTTACTCTGGGATGAGCATTTAGGAAGCAGCCTGCCAGGCTCCCACAGATCTGCGAGTTTTCCTCCTGTTACATATGAACAGTGGTCAAAAACATCAATGTCAGACAAGGTCACTCCATGACCCTACTTAATCCAGACAAGAGCAGGATGGCTTTTGTCTGAACACATGAGCATTGTGAAAGCTGGGACTTGCCCAGCACGTACCCCCCACCCAAGGCCTATATGAGTGACAGCTACTGCTTCACCAGTTATGATGTTAGCCTCTCTCTGGCCCGTCCTCCCCAGAAATAAACTGTATCATGGGACCCAACCATGAAATCATCCCTGGCATTCAAAGATAAGAAACAGACACTGTCCTCCCTGGATTCTGCCTAAAATCACTCAACCTCAGTCTAAATCTAAAACTTGAACTGGCCTCTTACTGAGATGGCCTGTGAGCCCTATCCCTCCCTGAAACTTGTTCACTGCCTGCCCTTGGTGGTGGCTTTTGGCTGAGATCATCATTAGGATGATCAGTTCAGGCTAGACTTATACTAGATGTGGTGGCACACACCTGTGATCCTAGCTCCTGGGAGATGGAAACAGAGGTCAGAGCCAGCCTCAGCTGCTCAGCGGGTGGGAGGCCAACCAGGCCTATAATATGAGACCATCTCAAAAAAAACAGCATGATTTGCTGTCAATGAAAGGAAAGCTGTCAGTTTTGAGATTCCTAAGGATTCGAGGATTTGTATGCCAAGACATTAGGATGGAGACTCTAGTTCTAGGCGGTCAAAGCTCTCACCAGTTGCACCAGGCACGCACATGTGCACTTATACACATGCAGGCAAAACAATCATACACATAAAACACAAATAACATCTTTTTAAAAATAAGTAAGTTAAAATCCTGCCCTTCCCCTGAGTCTAGAACACAATCCAGCTGCTCCTGGACCATGAGTCTCCTGATACAGCAGTTGGTGAACAGAGCAGACAAATGTCCTCCGAAGTTGGTCTAAGCAAAGTCAGGTGTTATTCAAGCTTTTGGGTTTTTTTTAACTTTTTAAAAAAATTTATTATTGTTAGTGTTCGAGAATCGAGAATAATTCCCACAGATACCAAAAAGATTATACAAAAAGTTTATTCAGGAATTTTAAGTAAAAACAACCAAATGGCGGCCAGCCGGGCACAGACTACACAAGCCAAAGATGGAGTCTGGCCCCGAACAGTAGCAGGCAGGGGCTTTTATTGGGGAACTCCACAGAAACCTGTGCATGCCAAACATCTTTTAAAATAATTGATGTCCCCATATCCTTAGTACAGGGGGTGTCTTGATTGGTAGGGGCTGTCTTCAGGGCATTGGAATGTGCTGACTGATATCTTTTGGGGCCAGAAGTTTTTGTTCATACCTTATAAGGCTTTTACATGTTGAGGGCTTGCTTAATTTATAGCTTGGGGGTGAGGGAGGATAACAACTGGGAAGATTTACAATATGCCTGAGCTTGTCCGGGCTTGTCTGAAGAAGGTAGCCAAAATGGAATCAGAGCATTCTGGCTCTTCAATAGTCTAGAGTCAAAAATTTAAGTTCAGTTGTCCCAAGAGGAG